TGAATACAATAGAGAAACTTGAGTAATAATCTACTTTCTCTTTCTAAAATTAACTAATCTAACCCTAAGAGAGAGAAGCTCTCCTAAAACTCCTTAAGAGAATAGAATAATTGATTCCCCATTTAATTACCCTAAAAATGGGTATTTATACTAAGCTAAGAAATTAGAAAAATAAAGGAAGGAAAGAAAAGGAAAATAAAAATAAATAAAAGGAAATAAAACTAAGAAAGAAAAATAAGGTAAAAGGAAATAAAGAAAAGGAAAACAAAATTAATAAAAAACGAATTCCCCCCCCCCCCCCCCCCGGACCAAAATGTGACCCTTAATTCCTTTGAATTTCAGCTGCTTTTACTCTTCATCATCACGCATCACCGCCGCACATCACATCATCAATGGCTATCATGGAGCATCATCTTCGATCTTCAATCTTAACCGTTCGATCTTATTAATTATCATGTGCGAAGCTCGTGAAATGGTTCGATCGAACCGAGAGCAGGTTTGACCAAACTACGGGGTTGTTCGATCGAACCATGGGTGTGTTCGACCACTCCTCTTCAAATAAGAAAACATCCAATGTTTCTGACTCTTTGGACACTTTTTGGCATTTCGATCGAATTTCTATGCGGCTTGCTCAAACCCGATTGAAATTGAATTTGCTTTGATTTGAGGTTGTTGCTGTGGTTGTAGAAGTTGCTTTTGCAATTTAGGGGCAACGAGAGGAGAGATGGAGTTGATTTGGGTTTGCGGTGGCTGCTACTCTGAGTTGCGGTGGTTCGTCAGGAGGGAGTGCACAGAGATGTTGCGGGTTGGACGGTGGTTTGCTGTGGCTGCCGATTTGGGTGGCTGAAAATGGTTGATTGCGGTGGTAAGTGAAAGTGGGTCAGGGCTGTTAGATGCGTGAGAGAAGTACAGGGGCTTCTCTGTGGTTTCGGTGGTGAGTGGAGGCAGCTGCGGTGGTGGCTGAAGATTAAGTTGCTGCTGTTGGTGGAGGTATGTGTGGGTTGCTGCGGTTCTTGCTGGAGCAGGGGAGAACTGATTGGTGTGGTGGAGGTTAAGAAGGTGGGGTGAAGGATATGAAATGGCAGCAGCCTAGTAAATGAGTGCTTGAATTAAACCCCGAACTTTGGAGTTCTGAACACGGCCTCAAATTAGAACACGAACCTTAACCCAAGCGAAAACCTACACACATCAAGAAAATCGAGAAGTGAAGTAAAATAAAAATAAAATGAAAATAAATAAAGTAAAAATAAAAACAAACAAAAATAAAAATAAGAGAAATAAAACTAAAACTAATAAAATAAAGAAGTTAAACTAAAACACTCCAAAATTAAAAAAAAAAAAAAAAAACTAGAAACTTAACCAAAACACTCAAATAAAAGACGAAAGACAAGAATAAGAAAATAATAAAAAAAATAAAGGATAAAAAGAGTGAAATTATTAGAAAAATAACTAGAAAATGACCATATACGGACCCCTAAAAGTGATATAAAAGTCACTTATCAAAGGTTTTCACAATGGTGGTGCCTTTTTCAACACTTACTCAAGTGCCTTTCCCAATACCCCAACTTTGGTATTTATAGGAAAATGCAAGAGTGAGATTTCCTTTTCCATCAATGTGGGAGAATTGATTTTCCATTTTATTTTTAAATCAAAAATAAAATTAATTATCAAGCTACTAATAAATCAACAAGTGGCATATTCATGATAGAGGTTAGGTGAGGACCACTTGGAAGGGGAGGGGGGGGGGAAACTTGCTCCCCAATCCTCTCCCATAGACGGCCACCTCAAGCCTCAAGCATCCAATCCACGCGTGCCACGTGGCACCCACACTTAGGCACCAAAGCACCCAAGTGTGGGCTGCTTTAGTTGCTGCCACACCTTCGACCCAGCAGGCCACACACATATGTGCGGGCTGCTTGGCCGAGGCCTGCTGCTAGCAAGCCACGCACACATGTGTGGGTTGCTTGGCCGAGGCCTACTGCTAGCAAGCCACGCACACATGTGCGGGCTGCTTGGCCGAGGCCTACTGCTAGCAAGCCACGCACACATGTGCGGGCTGCTTGGCCGAGGCCTGCTGCTAGCAAGCCACGCACACATGTGCGGGCTGCTTGGCCGAGGCCTGCTGCTAGCAAGCCACGCACACATGTGCGGGTTGCTGGCCGTGGCCTGCTAGCATGCCTCGCACATTTGTGCGGGCTGCTGGGCAGGCTTGCTGCTAGGCCACACACATTAGTGCGGGCTGCTGGCGAGGCTTGTTAGCCATGGTGCGCTAGCACGCACTAGCCTAGGCTCGGCTTGGTGCGCTTGCTAGCCACCTTGCTAGGCCATATGCTCCTAGCATTCGGTTTGCTCGGGGCATTCCGACACTAGGGGTATTTTGGTAATTTTGTTGATTTATTAGTAATTTTCTCGTCTCGTCTTTTATTATTTTCGACTTGACATTCGACGCTCGGTTTCGTCACTCTAAGCTCGAATTTCTGTCGTCTAAATATTAATTACTCGGGCGACTCGTTAATTTCTTCCGAAATAATTTGTTGTGCCGGTTCGTTAGTTGCTTGAGCGTGACCCGAAGGGCTCAGTCAAGATTAAGCTGTAATATTAATTATACATTAACATTAATATTACTGATCGGAAGCGACCTCCACCTAGGCATTCCAATCACTTGACCTCACTGAATAATTAGCTTTCTAATAATTATGAACCCTCTATCGGAATAATACACTTGTTCGAAGGACACCATTCCTTTCATTCGGAGCTTGGTTTTGGTGATTGGCAATGGCGACTTGCTACCTTACCTTTTGGTTATGGTGATGTTCGACATTATGCTTTCCTTGCGCCGCGTCTCCAGTCTTCTGGTCTACAGGCAACGCTTCTTCGCAATTCTGGTATTGTTGGTCCAAGACCGACCTTTGATGGTGCTCTTAGTCTTTTTAACAAGACTGTGGAGATGGACCTTATGAATAACCCTAGTGAGATCGCTGCCCCCAGACTCATGAAAAAATTGGCAGATATATATTTCACGAAGGTCATTGCATCTACGGATTCCACTTTCTCATTATCTCCGCGCCAGGTTTCTTTATGGAAGTCCCAACAGGGGGATCACTCTTCGGCTTGGTTGCGGACGGTCTCGATATCGGATTTGGGTCAGACTATGAATGGTAAGACTTACCGTAGTGTTCTTTGCTACCGGTTAGGTGTTCCTTTGTTCTCGTTTCAACACCGTGTTTTGCTTGCTCAAGGATTTTTGTTGGGGATGTTTATGGGGATCATGCAGTGTCTTGTGCTGGGATTATGGGTATTAAACATTGGCACAATGTTGTTCATGACTCCCTTGTTGATATTTGTTTTCGGTCTGGGATTTGGTCGAAAGGAGGTTAACGTTAGGTTGACTAGAGGGAACAACGGGGCTCTACGACCAACAGATATGTTGCTTTATTCCTGGGATAGAGGCCTTGATGTATGTGTTGACTTGACGAGGTCTTCACCTTTGACACAATTGGGGTTGTCTGACTTCGTTCCTGGTCGTGTTGTGTCAGCTGCGGCTCAGCGGAAGCGGGACAAGTATGGGGTGCGTTACACGGCTATTGGTTATGATTTTATTCCTTTCTCCTTTTCTTCGTTGGGGGAATTAGAGAAGGATCCTATTGTGTTGCTGAAGCGGGTTCATGCGTTCGCTAAGACTCAGGATATTGGTGCTCGTGCAGCTGCACACATCTTCAGCTGGATCGGGTTCGTTATAGCTAGAGAGGTGGGGGCCCAAATTGTATCTCGGCTCCCCACTAATTTCTTGTAAATTGTTTGACTTTGTAGGTTTTTTTTAATAATAATAATAACAATAATAGTAATAATAATAATAATAAGGGAAATTCTCAATGGTAGCCCTCTACTTTTGCTTTTTCCCAATGGTAACCAATTTTTTTTTCAATTCTCTTTAGTAGCCCTAAACTTTCACATTTTTACAACTGTAACCTTAATGATGATTTTTTGTTAAATTTTCGTTAAATCCAACTACAGTCTACGGAATACTAGTATACTACACAAGTTAATTATTCCAATAATTAAAAATTAAACAAAAAAAAAAACAAAAACAGAAAAATTAGAAAATACCCCCACGCACAAATACTCCCATCCTTATTTCTTCTCTTCCTTCAACCTCCAAACTCCATAGATTTATTATCCACCTTCATCATCATTATTTGATAAATGTGTAAATGTCCATCAACCTCCAAACTCTCAATTGTTTTATTCTCTAAAGCCTAAAGTGATCTTCATTTCTCCATTCTCCCCCTATTTATTTTCAATCAAATTCTAAGGTTCTTCATTGTCGTGGGAGTATTTTTCATGGATGGGGGTTTTCGTGCATGTATGGGTGGTTATTTTCATGGAGTGTGTGGTAATATTGTGAGTTGCGGGTTTCTTGGGTGGGGTTTTTTCGGGTGGCAGTTCGGTGTTTTCGCGGGTGGGGTTGATGGCTGATTTTGTGGTGGGTTTTGGGTTCTTGGTGGTCCATTTCGCGGTGGGTTTTGGGTTCTTGGTGGTCCATTTCATGGGAGGTTGTTGCAGTTGAGTGGAGGGGGATGGTTGTTGCGGTGGAAGGAGGGATGGGAGATGTAGTGGTTGTTGGAGTGGAGGGCTTTGGCCTTATGGGGTTGGAGGTGCTGTCAAGGAAGATGAGTGAAGGGAAGGAGAGAGAAAATGGTTGATAATAGTTAAAGTTAATGGATATTTAACGGTTTAGACTTAATAAGGTTACGGTTGCAACTTTTAAAAAAGTTGAAGGTTACCATTGAGAATTCAAAAAAAAATTGGCTACCATTGTAAAAAAGCAAAAGTAGAAGACTATCATTGAGAATTGCTTCAATCTACTTGATCTATTCAACTCTCTTCACAAGCTCAAAAGAAGAGGGCCTTTAGACATCCCATTTGTTTCAAAACAAAAACGAAGTATGTACGGTGGACCAATACTTCTCTGATTAGTAGTAAGACTAGTAACTACTTGTAGACTTGTAGTAACCAAAATCCGGTGAACCCCACAATTCATATAGATAAATTCCTGACTTGTCTTTCTTTCTATTCATCCTCATCCATTTCCTCTTTCTTGTACATTTTCCCATTTTAATCCAAAATCCAATCCAAATGAAAACGATGACGACGATCCACGACTTCCCGGACGCGGTCCTAGCCCACATAATATCCCTCCTCTCCGACACCCGCACCCGCAACTCGACCTCCCTGGTGAGCCTACAGTGGCGCGCCCTCGAACGCCTTACCCGGTCCCACCTCTCCCTCCGCGGCAACATCCGGCACCTCCTCTTCCACCTCCCCACCTGCTTCTCCGCCGTCTCCCACCTCGACATCTCCTCACTCTCACCCTGGGGCATCTCCCTCCACCCCCACATCATCTCCACCGCAACCAATGATCACAACAACGCTTCTTTTCTGCTTGCTCACCGTCTTCGTCTCGCTTTTCCAGCCGTCACCTCACTCACTCTCTACTCCCGCTACCCTTGCACGCTGTCGCTGCTGTCGCCGTTGTTCGATTTGATCGAGGATGTAAAGCTCATTCGGTGGCATCAGAGGCCGAATAACATCCCACTTGGGTCAGATTTCTTTGTGTTGTTTCAGAATTGTGCCCGTCTTAAGTCGGTTGATTTATCGTCTTTTTACTACTGGACTGAGGATCTTATGTCGGCCCTTGAGGCTCATCCCAGATTTGGGGTTAATTTGGTGGTTTTGAATTTGCTCAATTTTTCGTTGTCCGAGGGGTTTAAGTCGCAGGAGGTTGTCGATGTTACTAGGGCGTGTCCCAATTTGAGGGATTTTAGGGTTGGTTGTGTGTTTGATCCAAGGTATATTGGGTTTCTTGGGGACGAGGCGCTTTCGGCGATTTCGTCCAATTGTAAGGAGCTTAGGGTTCTTCATCTTGCGGATATAGCTCAGGGTGTTCGAGAATTTGATGATCAAGGGTTTTGTAGCGAGGATGCTGGGCTTACTGTTCAGGGAATTGTGAGTTTTTTTTCTGGGTTGATTTTGGTTGAGGAGTTGGTGTTGGATGTTTGGCGGAATGTGAGAGGGAGTTGGGTGTGTTTGGAAGCTTTGGCTTCGAGGTGTCCCAATTTGAGGTCGCTTGAGTTGGGATGTTTTCATGGGATTTGTAAGGCCATTGAGTCTCACTTGGATGGGATTGCCCTTTGTCAAGGGCTTGAGTCGTTAACGATTAAGAACTCGGCTGATTTGACTGATTTCGGGTTGATTGCCATTGGGAGGGGTTGCTCCAAGCTTACTAAGTTTGAGGTGATTGGATGTAAGAAGATCACTATGAGGGGATTGAGGACAATGGTGTGCTTGCTTAAGAGGACACTAGTTGAAGTCAAAATTTCGGGTTGTAAGTATCTTGATGCCTCTGCTTCGTTAAAGGCTGTGGAGCCTATAAGGGGAATGCTTAGGAGACTCCACATTGATTGTGTTTGGAACGGTGAGGAACCTGAGTACGAGGAAGAGGTAACCATGTTAGGTATTGATTATAACCATAAATATGAAGGCAAGGATGATGAGGAAGAAAGTAGTAGAATGAGAAAGAGGACCAAGGTTTCATGGAATACTGAGAGCTGGTTCATGGGCAACATGGAAGGTAGCACTAGCAATGGATATGTTACTCAGACTTGGGGACGTCTCGAGTTTCTATCACTGTGGATTGGAGTTGGAAAGCTTTTGACACCATTGGCCAATGCAGGACTGGATGATTGCCCCAAGCTTAGGGAAATTCATATCAAAGTAGAAGGAGATTGTCGAGAAAGGCCAAAGCCATCACAGGGAGCATTTGGGATCAGCTCGCTTGGGCGATATCCAATGTTGTCGAAGATGAAGCTTGATTGTGGAGATACAATAGGTTATGCGTTGACAGCTCCGTCCGGGCACATGGACCTTAGCCTATGGGAGAGATGGTTCTTGACTGACTTAAGGAGTTTGAGGCTTAATGAGCTCGATTATTGGCCTCCACAAGATAGGGAAGTCAATCAACGGAGTCTATCACTTCCAGCAGCTGGACTACTTCAAGAGTGTGATACATTAAGGAAGCTCTTTATTCATGGAACTACTCATGAGCATTTTATGTTGTTTTTCCTTAAAATTCCAAACCTGAGAGATGTTCAGCTGAGAGGGGATTACTACCCAGCCCCAGAGAATGATATGAGCACCGAGATGAGAGTTGATTCATGTTGTCGATTTGAGTACAAGTTGAATGAACGTGACATTCCTGATTGATTGTTTCTTTTAGAGCTTTGTTTAGATGCAATTTAATTTTGCTCTGTTTTCTCGAAAAAAAATAAAATAAAAAAATGTTGCTCTTTTCTCTCTCCTCCATACTCTCGTCCTCCCTGCTCCTAGGTTACATCCTCTCCTAAGCCTACCGGCGACTGCGGCTTTCAAGCTAACAATGGCAGAAGGTGAGTTTATGATTTTGATTTTCAATTTTTGGATTAATAATTAAGTTTGGGTTAAATTAGTTCTCTAATTGTAAAAATTAGGATTTTTGTTTGCTATAATGTGGATTTTGAATCACAGGCGCTAGTGTTAAATTCTTCTAACGTATGATTTATAAATCATAGTGTTAAATTGGTTAATTGAGGATTTTTTGTGATTACTCCATGTTCTAGCTGCTGCTATATTCTTAATTTATAAAATTAATTTTTGTTTGCATTGAAATTCTTCTTATACGTAGTTACTATTACATGATTTAAGTGCATTGGATTGTAGCATTGTCAAAAATTGCATGAAGAAGGTGATATGCTAAAAGGATCAATAAAATTCATAAATGGATAATGAATTATCTAATTGCCGTTTTTGACTTTATAGCCATTGACTTGAATTCATGAGTCATTTATAGTTTTTTTTTTTCCAATTTTATCTGTTCTAGAATTTGAAAAACCCTAATTTCAGGAAAAAATCCCAAATTTGAATTTGTATTTCAGCATCAATTGCTGACGGTGAACAAATCTAGAACGAACGTGAAGTTGAAATGATCGGTCAATGATTTTTATATTTGTTACCTGTCGAGGATGTCCGCTTCCTAGAGTTTCGTCATCGCTCTAATGGCATAATTTAAGGGTGCATAGGAACGGAGGTCGGGAAAAGCAAGGTAGTGGTTCATTTGTTGCTTTAAGTTTCTGCAAACTTTGTGAAATTTCTGGTATAGAAAGAAAGATCTAGCTAGGGTTTTATCTTAGTTTTAGTGGATTGATCTATATATGAGTAGATTTGAATGAATTAGGGTTTTCAAGGCGTGTGATGTGACAAATTGATAAATCTCGTCTCAAATTTTCTTCCCACTGCTCATACTTCATTTAAACTGCAGCGGAGAAGTTACTGATAGTCCATGGTGGCGACGGCGACGTCGAGACATTAATGGTTGTGCTTATAGAGGTTCGATCTCTTTCTTCTGTTTTTAATATATATATATATATATATATATATATATATATTGATATATATATATATATATATATAAAATTATCTACATTTGTGATTTTGTTGTTTGATTGTGAATTTGTGATTACAAATTGGAGTTGTAGTGGTACGTTGGAGTAACTAACAATGTGAAAGTTATACTTTGTGCTACATTCAGTTCGATTTGCATTCCAAAAATCCAAAGTAATTAGATTAAAGAGCTGAAATTATTTCCACCATTTCACTCCACACATCTAATTTAGGTGTTTTATAAGGTTCTTTTTTAATAATAAGAAAAGAGCAACCCAATAAAAATTTAGGGAAGAAACTTTAATTTTGTAATGGAGATATTATTCATGTAGAAAGCAACCTGCACCAAAAATCCAAAACGGAGTCCTCAGGTCATAGGCCAGCCAACCAAATCAAGTCAACTTATGTTTCCTGAAAAACAAAGACTGAATGATTGAATAAAACAAGCACTACCTTAATTAATTAAGTGTGGATTATGAATGAGATGTTCATTATGATTAATTAGGATCACTTAATCTTGTTTCAAACCAATTGTTATGATTTATGTCCTCGTTTTCCATCAATCTAGCAAATAAGAACAGTTTCCCTAAGTTGTCATGTTTAGATAGATAATTATTTCCATATACAATCTCACTGATGTTATGTCTGATGTAGATGATTTTTATAATTAAATTCGCGCTGTGATGAAGAGGCGTTGTTAAAAATGCCGAGTAGCTTATGTTTATGTACTGTAAATTAACTGCAAGTGAATGCCCCAATGCACAAGATGCAATCATATCTTTTAACTTTTTGGATTTTTGAGTCTCAAGTAGTATAATGTTTCTTTTAAGATTTTTCTTCAAAGTCGGACTTAATATGATGTTGGAACTATTTGGGATTCATCAATAGTGATCAGTCTATTGAAAATGCAGGGAAGTATACAAGGAGCTTGTCAAAGTGCATATTATCTAACACCAGAGGTTTTGGAGCGCAACTATGAGAAAGAGATAGATGTGTGGAATGCTGGGGTCATTTTATGCATTTATCTAAGTGGAGTTCCTCCCTTTTTGGGCTGGTAAGCATATACTTCCTGAAATGGAATTCAACGTGTTTCATGCTACTTAGTGAACATTATAATATTGTTATAGCAGCCTATAGAAATGTTATAAGGATTTTATGAATATGCATTGTGAGTTTGTGAGGGGATATTTTCTTCATTTTATTTATCTGCAGTCTGTAATCTACCCATCTCATTTCTATGGTTCTGATTCATAGTGTTTGCGACTGTTCTAGAGATTGAAGCTGGGATTTTTTTATCAGATCAAGAACGGGAAGCTTGGCTTGAGTCACACATCCATGGCCTTTAATTTCTGCTAGTGCCAAAGACTTATTTGCTAATATGTTAGAAAGAAACCCTAAGGCGTGTATAAGTGCTGCAGAGGCACTTAGTATGTAATTTTTTGGTCGACTAAGATTTGATGATAGGGAATTTTGACATGGAAACTACTTTTGACTACCCACAATTCACATATTACCTATGAATCAGAACATCCATGGCTCAAAGAAGACAATGATGGTTCTGAGAAACCTATTGACAACACTATTCTTATGAGGATGAGCTATGAACAAACTTAAGAAGCTCGCACTCATGGTAATATGCCAAATACCTATATATTGTTAGAACATCTATTATATATTGTATAATCGACAAATGCTTTGTGCTAAATCCGAAATTTGTTAAGTTCATGCTATAACCTGTCTTGGGCTAGGCATCATCCAAGAATTCGTAACTCTTTAATGTTTCTCACTTTGTTGATCTTGTTCTTAGTTCGTCATTTAATTTGTTGCAATTTGATTTTATTTTTGAAAAGTATTGATTTGGGTTTAGGGATCTTACAAAATGTGGGTCAATTTTGAATCTAGGAATTGATTGTATTAGTTTTGATTTGATTAGAAATTGAATTTGAATGTTGAAATTTGCTATTATTTTGGTTGGTTGAGGCACTTGAGCTTGTGTTGTTCAATGTCATTTGGGAAGGGAACCTGGGGTTTGCAAGAAATGGCTGTAAGATTCATGGATTATAGAGAATATGTTTCGTGATGTATAGAGAGTGTACATGTTGCTGGAGTTAATTTGGATTAGTTTTTGTTTGGCAGGTGGAATAGAAAATCTAGAAACTCTTTTAAGACTACTCCACATGGCTATATATATGTCAGACTTGAGAAAATCTCCAACAAGTATGTTTTCTCTATTGTGGGAACTGTTTCTATAGCTTTTACCCAATTAATTTACATCATCTTAAGAATTCTATACATAGTAATTTGTCATTAATATGAATTAACCTGATACAAGTTTTTTTTACAACAATAGTAATTGTAAGATGGAATTACATATCCCACGGGATATCGTTAAGACTGCAATTGACTACTAACTGTAGCCTTGAGTTAGTGTAATTGTGAACCAAAAACAATTCATTAGTTTGATCTCTTGCATGCATGAATTTCATGAAGCTTAGTTTCTTTGAATTTTGATTCATAATTTTTTGCTAAGCCTTATATACATTCCTTATGACCATATGCATCTTTGTATTGGCTTGTTGAGATGGCTACGAGTATTAATTTGTGGTATGAGTTATTTAGGTATCGTTGCCCTAGTATAGAATTAACTGAAAGTTATAGTTGAGAATACAAGCTAAGAAACATTTGGGAGAAAACATTCTTTATACCATCCAAGTATTACCCCTGAATCCCTGATAACGGATAAAAGCAAACATGAACAATCCCAAGTTTGATTTATGGTCTTAACACAACAAAACTACATTCTGTGCGGCCATATTCTACACAACAACCAAAACACATTACACTTAAACCCTAGAAATTCAACAATTCAAGAAATTCAACAATAACCAATAATTCAACAACACTAACCAACAATTCAACAACACTAACCAACAATTCATGAATTCAACAACACTAACCAACAATTCAACAACACTAACCAACAATTCATGAATTCAACAACACTAACCAACAATTCAACAACAATATCCAACAATTCAATAATTCAACAACACTAACCAACAATTCAAGAATTCAACAAACATAACGAACAATTTGTAAATACTCAACTAATATTTAACCATACCTTGAATTGGATGTAATACGAAATTGGGTTGAAGAGGATTGAAGAGGAAATTTGGGAAGGAAAGGAAGAGGATTGCGAAGGAGGCGAAGGAATGAAGAGCAAACGTGATTGAAAACGAAGCTCGAGTTTCTGGTTTTACAACCAGACAGAAACGCTGCATGGGGCAGCGTTTCATTAACAAGATAAGACGCTGCCTGGGCAGCGTCTTATGTTTAAGCATAAGACGCTGCCTGGGGCAGCGTTTTATGCTGTTGCTTTTTTTTTTAATTAATTTTAAAAAAAATAAACGAGGAAAAAAAAAAGTCAAACTATAAAAACGCTGCCTGGGGCAGCGTTTTTGTAGCAGAATTTTTTTTTTTTAAAAAATAGAGGGTAAAACGCTGCCCGAGGCAGCGGTTTACCCCAGAAGCTTATTTTTGTAAATACTTTTGCCACGCAACCAAATTTGTAATTATTTTCTTCGGGAAGCTTAGTTTCCTAAAACGTCCTATTAATTAGAAACTCATGTGTCAGTTTGGGCCTTGGGGATTAGCATGTTGGGTTATCAGAGTAATTAATTTGCTTAAATATGTTCTCTTTTCACATTTCGTTGCATTTTTTTTTTCTCCTTTATATTGTTTACTACTACTTTTTGCTGATCTTTATTGTTTATCTTTGAGGTTTTAGATATGAGGAGAAGAAAAGCAAGGGATGATACTAGGAGAGGTGGCTATGCTAAGTATGTTATATTATCTAATTCTTTTTACTTTTAATTTTCCTGTTATTTAAAAAATATTTCTTTTTGGTTATTAATCTTTGGTCAACTAATTAATGAAGAGCAAAAGAACACCTTTCACAGAATTATTTGCAAGAATTGATGCATTGGACGCAAGTGTTGTCAAACATGTAGCAGAACGCTTCTTATTTATCAATTTTTACAATTTTAGCATATCTGTATTGCCTTATTTAAATTTCCTTATATAAATTTACTTTACAATTATGTCTAAATATTTGAAATTTAGATTAATGTTCTTTATCAAGTAGCTTTAATGTTGTAGAACACGTGCGATATTGTAACACCCCATACTTTCGAATCACTATTTTATGTGTATTTTCAACCATTAAACCTAATTTCTTATTTAAATATCAATTTCTAAATTTAAATGTTAATTACTATTTTGATTAAAGGTTCATTCCAAGCTTTTGGTATCCTAATGTTTGACAAAACAATTCAATGTTATTATTTAAAAGGTTTCATATTTGAGTTTTAATCATTTCAACCATATTTGACATGTCTTAATTGATATTAGCCTTAAAGGGTGATTCCATAAGCTTAAGTGTCAACTCAGTAAGTGTTATTAAATAATATGTAATTTTAATATTTAACCTATCACGATTGATACAGGTCATCATGGGTGATTCCTTGACTGAAATGCCAAATTGATAGGTATAAAATGATTTTATGGTTTTAAAGACTTTTTACGTTCAATCGTATTAATATCGATATACGAAGTATAAAGTTGTATTGGGTGATTCCTTCAACTTATTTATCAAATTGATATTATTTATAAACTATTCTTTTTTTACATTAATATAACTCATTATAATTTATAAACTATTCTTTTATTTTATATTAATATAACTCATTATAATTCCCTTTTATTATCTAGGTCATTATAGATGAATAATATTATTGGTTTCACATCTCGCCTTTTTATATTGCTTTTCTGTAAAATATGAACTTTATATATATTTTTGTATCTTAATTTTAATTATTGTTTTTATTATTGTTATTGTAATTACTATTTATATTATTTTTGAGATATCAATAATATATCTATATTATTGTTTTTAAACATATTTTCAAATCGCCTCTCATTACATTCCTTTCCAGTTCAGGCCAATTAGAATTTATTTATGGGTCAGGTTTTGCTTTGACTATATAGATAAGTTAGGCTTGTATATTAGCTTCCTTAATCCCATTCTTAAGCCTAAATTAATTATTCTGTCAAGCCCAAAGGAGAAGCCTTGAATCCTAGCTTTGTATGACCTTTTTGTGAGCTTCTTTTGAGCCCATTCTTGGTTGGTTTGCATAGCATCTTTGAGGGATTAGAAGCTGCTCATTTTACACTAAGTAACCCCTCATATTCACCCTCATTACACCTAATTAAACCTATCTAAGTTGCTGCCCAACTCCTCCACTCCCCCTTCCCATTTTACGTGTACATTATATGCTAGCTTCACCAGTTTTTCGTCACAAAAAAAAAGCTGCATATACTCTCCTCTCTCTTTATCCTTTTTGTGAGTTTCAAAGGCAAATCAAGGGGAAAATCTAAGCCTAATTTGCTGCTTAATCAAACTCCGATTCGTGGTCAAACTCCTTCTCTTTCGAAGTGTCAAAACCGAAGAACTTTGAGGGTTTTCAAGGGGCTGCTTGTGCGTGGGTTTAAGCGCTGAATTCATGGCTTTCCTCACCTCCTTCTAGTATATAATTTAGATACTCTTCAATAGGTAACTAGTCTTTCTCCTTTAGGTTAGAATTACATGATTTTGTGGCTGGGTTAGTAGGTTAGAAATCATGATTAGGGTAGGTTTTGATTTTCGTTCATGGTTTTATGATAGAATTTCGTGTGAATTTGATTGAGTTTTATGGGTTTAAATCATGTTTTTCATGCTTTGATTTAATTGATATAAAATCCTAATTGTTATATGATATTATCATGATGTTTTATTAGGTTTTTATATGATTTTTAGGGCTTTAAAATCTGATTATGAGTGCTGCAATGTTTGAGTGTTTACAACATGTTTATGAAAGGTTTTACCATGATATCCGCCCTAACATTGTTCGTATTATGTTGGGAACATCCCTAATTTATATAATCATGTTTAGGGGCAAGTTTTGGTGTGATTCCATGAACAAAGTTGAGGTTGAGGAATGTTGTGTATTCAGGTTAAGGAGCTGTACGAAAATGGCAAATTAGAAATTAAATTGCTTAATTTTTATGTTCAAAATTGTGCCTATTATGTCCTACTATGTTTTGTGGTATTTTATAATAATTGGCTAAGTTATATTATGAGTTTTAGTTTGGTTTCAAGTGATTTAATTACAGTTATAGGCTGCTGCTTTGTCAGTTTATGTAGGGTGTAAGTAGAGCTAGTTATTTATATGTTTTGCCTAATTTTAATTCTTAAACTTATGCTTATTAGGTTCTATTATGTTTTTAGAATGTGATGGGCTAAGCTTAGTTTCATGTTAAGGTGGGTATTTAGGTGATTTGGTATGATTGGTACTGCTTTACATTAGTGTAGGGGCTGCTGTAAATATGAATTTATTTGGGCATGTTCTCTCTTGAATTTTAAATCCGAAATGGTTTTATATGATACCTAATGAGTGTTGTAGACACCTACTTTTGACCTCTTGTCCCGAAAGGAAGTGCGATAATGTTATAAAAATCCGTTCTTTATGTTAGATCAAAGTTGAAGTGTTTATGGACTACGAAAAGCATTATGAAGTAAGTTAAAACCCATATTTGAGACCAAGTTATCTTAGAGCCTTGTCCGATTACTAATTAGGCCTAAAATGTGTTCATAGATGTTTAAACTTGATTAATAACGGACCCAAATGCGTCAAATGCAATGATTGGATCCAATTGAATCTACATTGTTGAAAAACCGAGCCAAACAGATAAACCAACCATCATATTCTCGTGCAAGACCTATACAGATGGATAGTCCTTTCAAAGAGCTTTCCAACGGTACATTATAAGTCCAATTCCGAGCTAAAATGAAGAAGTTATGATTAAAACACTAAACCAGACCCAAAACCGACACCCTTGCACTCCAACGGCTGTAACTTTTGATCCATAACATATTTTAACCTAATTCTAACGGCATTAGAAAGTAGACATTCAGAGCTTTCCAATGATTTCTCACACGCCTTAATCCGACTTCGCAATCAAAAGTTATGGAAGTTTTAAAAACGCGTTTTCGTATAAGGCAAACCGCAAACCAGCACAACTCAATCAGTTGCGCAAGCCTTGCGCGGGCGACTCATTGAGATGCGCGCGGCACCCAGCGCGACTCAGAGAGTTGCGCGCGGCACCTGACGGTGCGACTCTAAAACCCTAAACCTAGATCCCTACGCCTATAACTAGGGATCTTCGTTCAGCAGTACGGGGATCGAAAAATTCAGAATTAAAACTCTAGTATTCTCAAAACCCTAATCTCTCAACTTCTCTTACTATCATATTACTTTTTCTTCTCTCTTCCCAAATAATTTCCAACCCTAATTGAATCTATTGATGTCCTTGGAGGTACAAAGAAGAAAGAAAGTCCATAACCACATTAAACGGAGATTTAACATATAAGAAGAACGGTTAGTTTCCTGAGCAATTAGATAAATCACTTTTCTTTTATTGTTTAAATAACTTTAATTGATTAATTAGTTTTGTTTGATCACTTTAAACAAACTTTTAATTAATTAATTCACATAGTACTCTTTCGTTAATCAAGACTAGAATTTGAATAATTAATTGTTGTTTTATCACTTAAGACAAGGCGAATATTGTTTATTTTGTTCTTTTCACGAATATTATTAAATAAGAATAACAACTTTTGCAATATAATTCCTACGTGATTAATGCTTGTAAATAAAATCAACTAACTTAGTCTTTAGGTATCACGTTGCATATATTGTTTGGTAATGAAATTGTGAAAAAGGAAGAGCTAATAGAGGCCGTACTAGGGCTAAGATAGCGATTCCCCTCTAAAAGGGAGCGTTATCTTAGTACCCTCGCTCCCGAACTCATTTCTAGTTTATGTAGACCAATTTGGGCATGGGTAAACTTATGATTCGTGCTAATTATTCCATGAACTCCACATGGAAGAAAGGCATGAACGAGGTTTATAAGTTTTCCTAAAACTCATTGGCGACTCCTACTTGTTTCTTACACAAAAAAAGCGTGATGAGAGTATCATTTCTAATTCAAGGTCTCCCAAACAGTCAGGAATTCAAATCCTAATACACCCTAACAAATGTAAAGTCCTAGGCTTTTAAATGGTCATGGGCATCTAAGGAAGGACCCCCTTACGATGGGATCACCCTCCTTACAAGTGTATGTATGTGCCCTAATTTTTTTTTTGCATTTGAAGTATGTTTGATTGAGTTTTTATGATGATTTTTGGACTCATATCTTGCTGCCCTATTTTAGTTGTTTTATGAAATTGTAGTTTGGATTTTTGGTTTTAACAAATGAATTTATGGAATTTTTATTATAACTAGTGATATGGGTATCTATACCCCGCCAAGTGGCCCAATGAGCGTGTGACACGTGTCGCTATAAGAGGCGTCTAAATGGAATCCCAGATGCTGACACGTGTCATACAGATATGGCACCTGGGAAATGGCGGCCTTCAAGGCCCAATTCCAATGTAGCCACAAAACGGCGCTGCCCTAATCCCCATGTCATCAAACCTTAGAAAAGTGCAGTTTTCTAGGAACCTTTAAATGGTGAGATTTCTCCAATAATTGGGATAACATCTTAATCATTAGGACATTTATTGCTCTAAAAAATAGAGAACTCCTGATCTCGGAATCCGAGAAGATACTTACTTTCCCGACGTTTTACTCTAAATCACTACTAACTTAATCTTCGGAGGTGGACCTCCAATCATCTGGAGTTCCGTTCATTTTGTAGGTACAGGCGCCCTTGTCGGATCTAGTTTTCGAGTCGTAACTCTCCCAAGGGACATAAAAGCACCCGAAACATTTGGCACCGTCTGTGGGTAGAGTACCTTAAAGATGGTTTCACAAGAACCTGTGCCGCCTCTAGAAACCAACCGGCCTACAGTTGATGTAGAGG